TGAGGACAGTGACGGGGTGGGTGGTGGGTGGGGGGCAGCTTGCAGGGTATACCCTTTAGTTGGGGGATGATACATGGACAGGATGGTAACTATGGCAATGAAATGATGTATGATAGAATGAATGTAAAACTAATGTTCTCCCATGTAAACTATCACACAATTCACAATAAAACATTTATTAAAAAAAAAAAAAATTTCAGTGTTGGGAGGGAGATAGGAAATAAATCAGATTTCTTAACAATATTAGAATTAATGGAGTAATGTCATCATCTGTTTGGGGGAATTTCTATCTAGGATTCTAAAGCTAGCCAAAAGTCAATCGAGTCTAACAATTCTCCATAAAGACATTTCTAGATACTCAAGGTCTAAAACATTTAAGTCTCATACAGTCTTTCTCTAGAAGCTACTGAAGCAAAATGAGAAAATAATTCATGCTAGTGGGGTCCAGGAAATAGGAACCAAATCCAGGAGAAAGGCAAAGAGAATTGCTAGATTGGTGGGAAAGGAAATCCTAAAAAGATAGAAACAGAAAAAGGGAGTAGGCCAGGAGGAAGGTCTCTATAATGGGAAAAAAGCAGGACAACAGATTAATTGATGCCTTTGACCTTTTTGACAGAAATGCCCACCCCTTTTCTCTAAGAGATTACAGAAAGAAAATTAGGGGAGAAAAATAAAGATAATTATTAATTTCAGGAAAAATAAGCCATTAATTAAGAAAAGACATGTGGCTAACACATGCTACATGGCTCAAGTTATACATTCATAAGAAGAATCTGTACTAGTCAGTAGTCTATATGAGAGGCACAGATGGTTATGAACTATATGGGGAGACCGGGGAGAAAAGGAAGGTGTTTCTTGAGGGTGAGGATGTGGAATAGCTAATGACAATTGATAACTTCTAATACTAAAAAAAAAAAAAAAAATTGACTAGCAGTATGATCATATGATTTAGAAATCTGAAGATAAATACTGCCAAAACACTGAGAATTGTGGCCCAACCAAGTTGACACATCCCCTTAACCATCATAACCAGTGTTTCTCTCACCTTTGGCATCTATTCATGCGCAAAATAGTTGGGTAGCAGTTTTTAACTATTACTGTAAATGTGAAAACTTAGACAATGTGACAATTGATAAGTGATATGTAGGGTGTATATACAGATACTAAAAGATACTGATACTGAAAAATGTTTTTAATTACTAAATCTGGTGACTGTACCACAAATACCCAAACACACCCAGCGTGGAAGTTGCTCAACCTGTTTTGTTCCAGGGTTACTGAACCAGTGCCAAGAACTAAGCAATAAAGGAATCAGAATCAGCCCTGCCCTACTAAGTCAAGTATCTTCAACTCTGACACGTCTAACCTGATTGCTTTAGTAACCACTCCCGAGGATTTAATGTACCCAAATGTCTACTTATCTCTCTCTAGGATACATAGTTGGTGCCCCATATTTAAGGAGACCTAAATGGAGTTCCTGGTCTTCCTTAACTGGCTCCCACCATCTTCCCCATTTTGGCTAATTGCACTTGAATTCTTCCGGTTGCTCTAGCCACTGGAATAACTTTATTCTTCTTCTTTTATCCCCCTTGACATCTGGTCCATCAGCAAACCCTGTCAACTCTACCTTTATCATATATCTGGGATCTGATCTAGCCCACCACTCTATTGCTATCATTCTGGTTCTAACCCTAATTCACAGCAGCAGTCTCTCAGCAGTCCTTGACACCTAACAGTCTCTTCACAAAACAGAAGTTACATGGTTGTTCTGACACCGATATCAGATCACGTCACTTCGCCCAAAATTGTTCAATGGCTTCTCATTTCTTTCAGGAAAACTAACCACCCTAATGCCTTATACAAGGAACTGTGGTGGTGTAGTGGGTTGCTACCCTCAACGTCAGCAGTTTCAAACTACCAGCTGTTCCACCAGAAAAAGATGAAGCTTTCTGCTCCCGTAAAGATTTATAGCCTCGGAAACCCTATACAGGGTTGCTATGAGTCAGAACTGACTCCACAGCACACAACCACCACCACCACCACCAGTGCCTTATACATTCAGTCTCTCTTCGCCTCTTTTTCCTTTTAAGATCAGTATCATTCCTGGCTACAGTTGTTTTTAAGAATTCTTTCACTGTTCTCCATATTTCAACATTTAGCTCCCTCCAGACAAAATCCCCATCCTCCTAGAATGTATATTCTAGTGCGAGGAGACAGATAGTATGAGAAAAATTAAGATTAGATGGTGCCAGAAAGAGAATGGAGTTGCAGTTCTAAATACTGATGTCTAGAAAGTTCTCACAGAGCAGGTGACACCTGGATAACACGAGGGAGAAAACAGAGCGTGTGCTTGGGGGGAAGAACACTCTAGGTTGAGATGGGAGCATTTTCTGAGGAATAGCAAAGCAGCCAGTGTGGCTGGTGCAGAGTTAAGTGAGGGGAACGTGGTAGGAGGTGAGGTCTGAGAAGGGTCTCACAGACCATTGTGAAAACTTTGCATTTTGTTTTGAGTTAGATATGGAGTGCCACAATCTGACTTAGGTTTCAAATGGATCATTCTGGATGCTGAAATAAGAATAGATTGAAGGGAGATTATAGGGTTTGGTTAACGTTTTAAAAAAGATATCTCTGGCTGTTGGAGAAAAGGGAGCTCTGGTAGCGTAGTGTTACTAGTCGGGTTGTAACCTCAAGGTCAGCAGTTTGAAATTGCCAGCTGTTTCGCAGAAGAAAGATGAGGCTTTCTGCTCCTGTAAAGATTTATAGTCTTTGAAACCCTATGCAGGGTCGCTATGAGTCAGAACCGACTCCATGGCACATAACCACCACCACCACCACCACCATTGGAGAACAGATGGTAAGGGAGACAAGATTAGGCATAAAGAGTTCAGTTAAAAGACTTACGCAGGTACCCAAGTGAGAGAAAAAGGCCCTCAGACACATCCTCCAAGGCCCACCACACACCCATCTTTTCAGAATCCCTAGGATATTTGGTCAGGCATTTTGATATGCTCTACATACTCACAGAAGGAGCTCTGCTAGCATAGTGGTTACGAATTGGGCTGCGAACCTCAAGGTCGGCTGTTCGAAACTACCAGCCATTCCTCAGGAGAAAGATGAGGCTTTCTGCTCCCATAAAGATTTACAGCCTCGGAAACCCTCTACAGGGTCGCTATGAGTCGATTCCACGGCACACAACAACAACAACATACTCACAGACCTCTCCCACTGGCTTTTGTTCTTAACAAGGAGTGGGTACAGAGATATCTGGAGAGTACAGTTCATGTTGAAATGAAGCTCACACCAACAAGTTTGCACAGGACTGAGTAAAAATAAGAATATGTCAGAAATGTCCCCTCTCGAACCGAGATCATTTTTGACAAATCAAGTCAAATCTCCCTGCTGCTTTACTAATCAGAAACTCAAGTAACAAGATTCTTCACTTCATTTCCTTCAATGGGGTCTTTGTTCAGCTCACACTCAGAATAAAAGCAGGAAGACAGGAAAGTGAGTAAAGTTAGCATGCACTTTAAAAGTATGAATGGTTTTTACCTGTTGCTCCAAAGACTGCAATCACTTTCTTGCTGGCCATGTTATTGGACAAGGTAAGAGTGAGCAGCGAAAACTTCAGGGAAAAAAGCTGAAATGTACTTTCTCTTTTCCAGCAAGAACTTGCCTCAGAGCAGTAGTAGCTAAAATGGGAGTTTCTCTTTTCCAACAGGAATTATAGAGCAAATTTGATTGCTGCTGTTAGGTGGTGTGGAGTCAGTTCTGATGCATAGCGACCCTATCCGTTTATCATAATGCTGCTTATTGGTCCATTTGTGAGGATTCAAATCTGATTGCCACACCCTTATCTTGTTCCTCCCTTATAAAGTTTTCATTGTTACTACTAACCAGCTTACTCACTCTGACACTGCAATTTTCTAACTTATGATTCATTCCTTCACTCATTTGCTCAGAAAATGTGTATCGATTGCCTTTGGTATATTAGGCATTGAACTAGAGACCCTGTGTGATGTAGTAAATTCTCTAATATGTCTCTTCTAGCCTTAGTCTTTGCATCTCCCATTAAACTACTCTTTTCCTAATGGGTCTGAGTAAGAGAAAGTGGGAGAAGACACAGATAAGGTGACATGATTCAACTGTGGATATTAACAGAGTTAAATGCAATTACAAAAACTTGAAACTTTAGCATGGGTATAAAATGAGCCACCTCAGAAGCAGGGGGGAGCGCATCCTTTGAACCCCAAGATTCCTTCGCAATGAACCTCCTCCACCCAGGAACAGAAAGCTGAGGCACCAGAGGAGTGGCAAAGGAACAGCAACAACAAAGCCAGGAGCCAGAGCATGAAACAGAGTAGTGGGCTTCCCAGCCCACAGAGCAAGTAAAGCTGAGTGACTTTAGGCAGGAGGCTCGCTTACAGAATGTGGTGCCTCCGGTCACTTAATTGTGGAATCCTGGTGTGGCACTGTAGGTTAAGCACTGCAGTCACTCAGAAACCCTAGATAGGATAAAACCTATAGGAGTAAGAACTGACTCTATGGCACTTAACAACAACAAGAGGAAGCACTTAACTTGGCTTGCCAACCCATGGAGCTAGAGTTGAGTGTCTTCAGCTTGAGGCTTATGGTGGAGTGGGCTGTCCTGTGGGCATTCAGCAGTACTGTAGTGTGGTGTGGCACTGTAGGATAGGCACTGGTCTGCGAAACACCTACTGCTCCTTGGAAAACCTGCACAGGGTCACTATGAGTCGGAATTGACTAGATGGCACTTAACTACAGCAAAAGATCCCTGTAACATTTGTAACATTGGTGGAGCAGAGAGAGGTCTGCCTGTGGGCAATGCTAAGGAGTAACTGCCCTGACTGAAACTAGTGTGCCCTGAGCATTTCTGACTCTGAATTGTAATCTGTTAACTTTCCTAATAAACCTCATAATTGTGAGTAATGGTATCTCAGTTCTGTGTGGCCATTGCAATGGGTTGTTGAATCCAGAAGAGAAGTAGAAAGTGTCTTTGGAGGAATGGTGGGGGCCATATTATCTTACACTCTTGTAGGATCTTTTAAGGGAGATAAACATGTAAATAAAAGTACATAGGAGCTCTGGTAGCGTAGTGGTTACGAATCGGGCTGCGAACCTTAAGGTCAGCAGTTCGAAACTACCAGCCTCTCTGTGGGAGAAAGATGAGGCTTTCTATTCTCATAAAGATTTACACCCTCGGAAACCCTGTACAGTGTCGCTATGGGTCGGAACCGACTCGACGGCACTTAACAACAACAACAACAGGCATGGCAGAGGGAAGCTGAGGGGACACGGATCATGGAGAAGAAAACAAAACACAGACCAACTGGATTGTTCAGGAAGATTTTCCAGAGTCAATACTGGAACAGATCTGAAGACCCTATATGAATTTTTCAATCAGAGAATAAGAGAAGAGACCATTGCAGGCAGGAAGAGTCACGAAGTCTAAAGGCAGAGTAATCACAATATGTAATGCCATGTGAGTGACAGAAAAAAAAGATTGGGAAGGAAAACAGAGACCACCCCTTGAAAGGCCTCTGTACATACTGCAAAGATGGTGGGGGCTGGGTTGGAAAAAATAAGACTGGAAGCCGGGATACTCCTAAGGAGACTAAAGAAATAACAAAAGTGAGAAGTAATGAAGGCTTGAAAATAAATGTGAAAATCTCATGGATTTTCATTCATGGATTGGAAGACTAAATATTGCTAAGATGTCAATACTAAATAAAGCAATCTATAGATTCAATGCAATCCCAATAAACTTCTTTGTTGATGCTAAGTGCTGTTGAGTTAGTTCCAACCCATAGTGACCCTGTATAGGGTTTCCAAAGAGCAGCTGGTGGTCTTGAACCACCAGCCTTGTAGTTCAAATAGACTTTGAAATCCAGCACATTAACCCACAGAGCCACCCTAGGATTCTAATAACTCTCCGCTTTATATTGAATAGTAAGAGGCCTTGAATAGCTGATGTAATCTTGAAGACAAGAAGAAAGTAGAAAGACTCATGCAACCTGATTTTAAAACATACTATGTATCTCTATGAGTTCTGGTGTGACACTGTGGATTAATGCACTGGACTACAAAATTGGTTTGAACCACAAGGTTGGACGTTCAAGTTCACCAGCCACTCCTCGGAAACCCCTGCTATGGTCGGAAGAGACTCGAAGGCACTTAACAGCAACAGTATATATCTCTACAGCCATACTACCCTGAACTTGTCAGATCTCGGAAGCTAAGCAGAATCAGGCCTGGTTAGCACTTGAGAATCCTGGTATGGCACTGTAGGATAAAGCACTGGACTGAAAAACACAAGGTTGGTGGTTCAAACCCACCAGTCACTCCCCAGAAAGCCTATATAAGGTCACAAACTTAATGGCACTCAACAACAACAACATATCTCAGGCCACCACTTGTCTGTCACTTTGTCATACTGTGGTGGCTTGCATGTTGATGTAATGCTGGAAGCCACACAACTGGTATTTGAAATACCAGTAGGATCACCCATGATGGACAGGTTTCAGCTGAAGCCTTCATACTAAGAAAGACTAAGAAGGAGAGGCAGGCTACTTCTGAATGTTTAGCCACTGAAAACCTTACGAATAACAGTGGAACATTGTCAGATATAGTGACGGAAGATGAAAACATTATGAATAGCACCAGAATATTGCCAGCTATAGTGCTGGAAAATGAGCCTCTCAGGTTGGAAGACACTCAAAATACAATTCGGGAAGAGCTGCCTCCTCAAGTAGAGTTGACCATGATGATACAAATGAAGTAAAGTTTTCCAGACCTTCATTTTCTGATGGGGACAAATCAAATGAGGAGAAATAGCTGCAAGCAACGATTAACAATTAGAATATGGAATGTACAAAGTATGAATCTAGGAAAATCGGAAGTTGTAAAAAATGAAATAGAATGCATTTTTGACAATTTACATTGACAATACCCTACGCATTAGTGAGCTGAATGGACAGATATAGCCCATTTTGAATCTGAGAATCATATGGTTTACTATGTGAGAACAACATATTCAAGAGGAGTGGTGTAGCATCCATCATTAAAAAGAATATTTCAAGATCTAACATGAAATACAATGCTGTCTGTGATAGGATAATATCCATACATTTAGAAGGAAGACCAGGTAATACCACAATTATTCAATTTTATGCATCAGCAACTAACATCAATGATGATGAAATTGAATTCTACTGACTTCTTCAGTGCAATATTAATCAAACATGCAATCAAGAAGTATTAATAATTATTAGTGATTGGAATCCAAAGGTTGGAAACAAAAAAGAAGGGTCAATGGTTGGAAAATATGACTTTGGTGATAGAAACAATGTTGGAGATTACATGATAGAATTTTGCAAGACCAGTGACTTATTCATTGCAAATCCCTTTCGAAACAGAATACACATGAACTTCACCAGGTGGCATACATAGAATCAAATTGACTACATCTGTGGGAAAAGATGCTGGAAAAGCTCAGTATTATCAGCCAAACAAGGCCATGGAATAGATCATCAACTGTCATATGCAAGTTCAAATTGAAGGTAATGAAAGTTAGAACATGTCCATGAGAGCCAAAATATGACCTTGAACACATCTCACCTGAATTTAGAGATCATCTCAAGAACAGATTTGATGCATTAGACACTAATGCCTAAAGAACAGAAAACTGTGAAATGGCATCAGGAACCAGAAGAAAGTAAAAGGTCATAAAAAAGACAGGAAATAAAGAAAACACCAAAATTGATGTCAGAGGAGACTCTGAAACTTGCTTTCCAGTGTAGAGATGCTAAAGTGAATGGGAGAAATGAGGAGGTAAAAGAGCTGAACAGAATATTTCAAAGACAGCTTGAGAAGACAAAGTCAAGTATTATGATGAAATGTGAAAAGACCTGGAGTTAGAAAACCAAATAGTAAGAACACACTCAGAATTTCTCAAGTTGAAAGAGCTGGGGTAGGGGGGCACAGAATTAAAGTCTTGACTTGCAATTATGAAGGATTCATGGGCAAAATACTGAAAGCATCAAAAGAAGATGCAAGGTAATCCACAATAAAACATTTAAGAAAAAGAAGATGCAAGGTATATGCAGAATCACTGTGCCAAAAAAATGTTCAACCATTTCAAGAATTAGCATATGATCAAGAACCAATAGTACTGAAGGAAGTAATTCAAGCTGCACCATAGGTATTGGAGAAAAACAAGACTCCAGAAATTGATGGAATACAAATTGAAATCTTTCAACAAATGGATGAAGCACTAGAGGCTCTCACTCATTTATGCCAAGAAATATGGACGAAAATTGATTGGAAAAGATCCATATTTGTGCCCATTCCAAAGAGAGTTGACCCAATGGAATATGGAGCTCATCAAACAATACCATTAATATCACAAGCAAGTAAAATTTTGCTGATGATAATTCAAAAAGCAACAGTACATCAACTGCCAAAAACCCAATCCAGATTCAGAAGAGGACATGAAACTGGGATATTGTTGCTAACATCAGATGGATCTTGGCTGAAAACAGAGACTACCAGAAAGATGTTTATTTGTGCCTT